CCCCAAAACCCCAAAACCCCAAAACCCCTGAAGTTTCGAGCCAAATTGAACAAAGATTTTCAAAATTTAGCAATAAAAGGTCAGAATTGCTGTAAAAAGATAAGTAAGATTTTACAGTAGCTTCCAGTGTGCTTAGACTCTTTCTCTATAAGAGTTTTTGAGTGTTTACTTTACCCAGGCTCGGGATACTCCAACCCAGCTTTGCATCACGAGTCCTAGTAAGATCATTGAGACCACCAGCCAGGTCGGGAAAGAAACTTGTAAAGGCAGCTCAAGGAAAAGATTGAATTGCAATGAGAGAGTCAGAGCTAGAATGAATCCAATGACCAATCCTGCTATTGCTGAAGAGGTGAATACTGCTATTGACTCATAGAGATAGATCCTAACCAGTTGGGCTTTCCTGAGACCTATCGCCCTTAAGACTCCGAACTCCCACATCTTGTCCTTTAGGTTTGTCTTTGCAGATACGATCAGCATGAAGAAGACAATTACGAAGGCAATTATGGCTAGGAAAATGATGAAGACCTGGAAGACAGTAGTCATTGTGTGCATGTTATCCTTCACACCTCTATAGTCGAACACCATAACTGATTTATCATTGATAATTCCTTTCAATTGATTTCTAAAGGTTATGGGAATAAAACTTACCATATTTCTTCTCTGTCTTCGGTGGAAAGAGACTCTGGGAGTTTGATTCGAAGGAAGTTCTTAGCGTAAAAGTAGGTTGGACAGAGATCACTACACCTTTTTCCCTCCTTTTTGGCTTGTTCAGTTCATTTCTCAACCCGTCAGGATTTATAATCAGTGATGTTCCGTTCCAACTCATGGTCTGTCCCTATGAGCATATCTAGGAAAATATCAAAGGCTTGGTCGTAGGAGATAAGTGCTTCCAATCCAAAGGTAATTAAGCTATATGATGTGAATGCAAATCCTGGTATTTTCCTAGGCATCGCTCTGACAAGTCCTTGATATTCTTTCACTGAATGAGGAGAATACGCATGGAGCTTCATTGTTTGCCCTGACTTCGCAGACATGTAATAATCAATTCCTTCAGGAAGCAGCATTTTAATCTGCTTCATAGGCTCATGATGAACAGGCTGAGCAGCATCGGTGAGAGTTCGAGATGAAATATTATACTTGTCGTACCCTCCTTCAAAATCTGTGGTACCTTGGTCTGAGTAGAGGGACCAAACCACATCATTTTTGCCGTCAATCTTGGGGTAATCCAATCCAGTCTGCTCTGTGTGAGGAATATAGTAATCATCAAATACAGACTCTAAGTAATGTTCTTCTACAGGAATTATATAAACTTTATTTCTTGGGAAGTGACCTCCCTTCTGGTACAGTTTAAATTTGGTATTGATATTGCCATACTTTCTCATAGTTTGAGTCATACTGAAACTTCCAAAAGTATAAGTCAGGATCTTTGGGCTTTCTCCAAGTGAGCTCTCATAGAGATATTTTCTAAGTTGCTCCTCAGGAATTGTCTTTGTACCAGCAAATGAACCTACAAACAAGTCAGCTCCCATGAGATTCTTGATAACTCCGAGCACAAGGTTGTTGATGAGCAGCAGGGAGCTGCCGCCAAAGATCAGATATGCCAAGCATATCGTGAACAATATCGCACTCTTAGAGTTACTTTTCTTATGGCTTACGAGCATGTTCTTCATGATCAATGGTTTCAACTTTCTGTCCTTCTTGATTCAGAAACAAAGAATGTGAATGAAAACTTTCTGTATGATTGGAAATACAAGAACGAAGAGCAACCCCATCCCTATGATCATTATGATCAAGACCAAGTTCAGGATTGAGAAAAAGATCTCCATTCTTTTGAATAGGAAGGCAGCCGGCGCGAGGTAATACGTCATTACTCCCATGAGTACAAGGATTCCACCCAGAGAGACTGTGAAGAGAGAGATTCCATAATCTCCTAGTTTTCTGATTTTGACAATTGCATCACTAGCTCCTGTGTGGAATAAGTCAAGTGAGTCTGTAATCTTCTTGCCTAGAGCTCTCTGGATTGTAAAGAGGTTGGTGAAAATAGGCATCGAAATTCCCATAATCACTGCGATCAGTATAGAATTTGACGACAATAACAAACTCAATTTGGAGACTGTATAGCTCCCAACAAATGCCCTCAAGCCTAGGTTGGCTAGACCACCGATTGCTAGCCCAATAAGTAGCCCTGGGAGAGAGAAAACTAGGGCTTGAAGTAATATGAGATGTACTAGAGATTTATTTTCTAACCCTAGTGCTCTCAACATTGCCATTTCAAAAGTTTTCTCATCGATATCAGATATCATTAGGGAGTATATTAGCATCGCACTTAGGATGAGGATGAAGGCGACTATTGTATAAAGAGTACTCTCTAGAAATAGTTGGACATAGCTGAACTTCTCAAGACTCTCCTGTACAGGAGTCATCAATGTTACATTGGCATCAAGACGATCCGCTTTTTGTAAGAATTCCAAATTGAAGGACTATGGATCATCAAAATCAGACTTACATCAGATAATCCTGAGTAATACCTCTCTCTATCTCTGATCACAGCGTCTACTTGCATTGCAAAATTCTGGATCTGGAGGTCCTTAAGGTCAATTAGGAGACCCTCAACTCTATTTTGAAAAGAGAGATCTTCACTATATTCCTTAACTTGATTCATCAACGATTCGATCAGATTAGGAAGGATGTGTTGGCAGTCAAAAATTACCAAATTTCCATATGAGTTTGGCATCTTTCCGTTTGGTCTGTCGAAGGCTTCGACAACCTCAAAATTTATGTAGAGCCTGAACCCTTCTGTGAAAAACCTAGATGAGGAGTTAACACAAGGTTTATCCATGCATACTTACTTTCTGCCTAAAATATCTTGTTGGGTGAAAATCTCCTGGAAAACATTGGAGAGTTTTTCAGAATTGCCTGGATCTGACTGAGTCAAAGTTTGAAAGAGTGGACTCGCTCTAACAGTCCCTAGGTCGTCAGTATTGAGAAATTTTGAGATATCAATGCTCATCTGAATGTTCTCTCCAACACCAGCTTTAATTCCTAAATATCTCAAAGTGGAAGAAGTAACAAAAGCTTGTTTGCTCCCAAGGATGGTTTTGGAGAAGTCCCTGCCCAGGTCGATTTCAACCTCATTCTTTGTATCTATCATCGCACCTATTCCTGGTGTAATTCTACTTGTATTCTTCGGGTTGCTAAAATCAAATAGACCAAACCATCTAGGAGTCATCCCTTGGTAAAACCCAGAATCTTCAGTTTGTAGCTGAAGATCTGTGGCGTTTATTAAGGGCCAATAGAAGGTTTCTACTGGACTCCTTCCAAGGTCATTACCGTACATGAATCGGTCTCCATTCTGTGCTATCTTAGTCGGTGGAGCTGCATGAAAGATCACATCGCTTTCCCCAACTTGGTCTTGGGATAACTTCAAGAAGATCACTGGAGAAACATCAAGAATATTATAAATAATCACGAAGAAAGCAACAGTGATAGTTATTGTAAGAATCCCGATCACATAGGCTTTGGGCTTCTTCATCATATCTGAGATGATGTAATTCGTCAGCACTCCAAAGCCAAAATACCACTTCAGACTCTCCCCTGGGTCCTTTATGTCAGGCTTCTCCACCAATGGCTCTTTCAGGTCGGTCTCTTCTTCAAAGGAGTAGAATTTTGTTGATTTAGCATTGGCTCCAGAGCTAAAATAATTATGGGATTTAAGGTTTGGTTCCTCGTCATCGAGTCGGTCATTGTCTTTTAGATGTTTATAGTTATTGGTAGATGACCTCTTCTGCATTTTTGAAGTAAATTATATATTTAAATGATTCTTTTGATAATTTATCACCCGGGGTTTTGGGGTTTTGGGGTTTTGGGGTTTTGGGG